AGAAGATGATCTCAACAAAATTCGAACACCTTTGAATCAATACCTTCGGGTACTTCAAACATCAAATCAGTAACTTATGATAATATTTTGTAAGTTTAAAACTCTTCAAAGAAAAGATAAACCTTGCATCAACGTTTCCAGCGGGGAGTTTATAATGAGAAGAACTCATCTGATGAGAATAAGTTCATAATGAGAAGAATTTTTTCAACTGTGCATCAACATTTCAATGGAGAGTTCATAATGAGAATAACTCATCCAACTAGGGAGAAGAAGTTCATAATGAGAAGAACTTGTTCAACCTTGCACCAACATTTCCAGCGAGGAGTTCATAATGAGAAGAGCTCATCCGACGAGGGAGAAGAAGTTCATAATGAGAAGAACTTGTTCAACCTTGCATCAACATTTCAGTGGAGAGTTCATAATGAGAAGAACTCATCCAACGAGGGAGAAGAAGTTCATAATGAGAAGAACCTGTTCGACCTTAGCTCATTTTTGTACATAAGGAGATGGATCGACATCCCCAGCTAAGAGTTCATAATGAGAAGAACCCGCAACATGAAGAATGGTGATGAAGTCGAAATTGGTGCTTTATATATTTGCTTCATTACCGTTCCACAGCAATGAGCAAAGAGGGGCAACTATAAGCACCATTTTTTTCAAGACCTTAAACCCTAAATAAAGTTAGACCTAGACCCCAAAATAAAATAAACCTTAAACAACCCATACCCAATAAAACAAACCCAGCCCCAAATAAAACTCAACCTATACCCAAATATTTCGACCCGATTACAGGCCCAAACCCGTACAAAACCCTAACCCTAAAGATATCATTCATGCAGCGCAGTCGTCGGTTCGAAGCGCCATATCACTGTCACGCTGGCCAGCTACCTATTAGTGATGTCAACAAACCCCAGAATATCTGGGGCATTAAAGGCTCACCATTATCAAAACATTAACTCAACAATAGTTTAGGATTTGTTTATTTTTAAACCTATATAAGATTTCGATTATAAAAAATGAACCCCATGTAACATATAATGATCCTTTTGGCTCCAATTTTCAGAGAAATACACAAAGCCTTTTAAGGTAGTTTTTTTGATTTGTTGTGTTTTTCATTTTGAAATAAAAAATAAATAAAATAAAAACATAAGTAATACTCATTTTACAGTAAAATAAATAGGGATTTAGTAGTTACCTGAGGAAGGGAGATTCTCACCGGAGTTGGGGTCGTCGAGGTGGGTCGTTGGTGAGGGAGTAGAAGAGTTTAAGAGTTTTAGGGGTCCAAAAAGGTCTTGATTGTTGGTTTTCGGTTTAGATCTATGTTTTAAGAGGCAAGGTTTTAGGTTTCGGGTTGAGAGGAGTTTGCTCCGCCATCGAGGGTCGCCAAGTACGAGTCATCCGAAGAGTCAAGCTATTTTCGAGTGATATAATTTTTTTTGGGTTTTTAGTGTAAGTCTGGTGTGAGAAGGGTAGATTGGGGGGAGAGGGGTGTTTTGGGTTTGGTTTGAAGGCTCCGACCACCGCGTGTGGTGGCCAAAGCAGCGGGGAAGCGGTGACGCTGGACTTCGACTAAGTTCTTAACCGAGATGGAGAATAGAGAGTTGAGAGATTTTAAGGTTTTTTGTTTGAGGGTTTGGTTTAAAATGAAAAAGAGTGAAAACAATATGTTATATAGTGGAAGCTTAAGGGTTATTTATGTTTTTGTCCCCCTATTTGTTTCCGTGTTTTGCATTTTAGTCCTAAGTAAGGGCTAAGTTGGTTATTTATCCTTTTTAATGAGTACTGATTTGATTATTTCCCTTTTCGCTATGTATGTTATGTATTTGGATGATTTGTTGTTTAGACCCTAATATTCTAGCGTGTTTTTACATTTTGGTCACCTGAGAGGACCGAATCTGTCATTTGCTCATTTTTTATGCATGTTATTATTTATTTGGTTATTTGTTGTTTAGTCACCCTAATTTAAGCGTTATTTTGTATGATGGTCCTATGTAATGACTGTTTACGTTTATTTAATTTGGCTGGACTAGTTTTGTAATTTTTCTTTTTTATTTAATAATGTATTTTAGGTTTTAAAAGGAAATGGATAATTAGTTTTAGTCCCTACAATTTCTACATGTTTTGTATTTTAATCATTAATATGTTTTCATGTTGTTTCGATTTGGTCACTTAATTTTAATTTATTTTAATTTAGTCTTTTATATGTTTAATTCATTCATTTAATCCCATTAATTTGATATTAGCACCAATTTAATTCATTTATTTTTTTTTTTATTTTTTCTTTCTTGTTTATTATTTATTTTAAATTTCTTTTTTAGTGTTATTTAGTTAGTTTTTTTATTTGATCTTAGATTAGATTTGTAAATCAATCTTAAAAATTAGGATTTCACTTTAGTTTAATTAGGGAACAATTCGATTCGTGTTTTTGCACTAAAATGGCCCGATTACTCGAGTTGATTGTTCGAATTCTTAATTTATTAATTTTCGAATAATTTTAAAAATTAGTTTAATATAGTTCCTTGCTTTTAATAATTATTAGGGCTTTAATTTTAAGTTAATCCTTTATACTTTAAGATTTATAGGTTTAGATCCTTAAGTTTTAGAATTTTATATTTAGATCTCATAATTGTAGTTTTTTAATCCTTTGACTATTTAGTCCCCAAACTTAATTAGAGTCTTAACATTATCATAATTAAATAGGATAAATAGAGACTCCACTTTGAGATAGATTTAAATATAGTCCCCCTAATTTAGGGAATAATCCGAGTCGGTCCTCGCGTAAATGCTCAAGGGACCACCTTGATTATCAATTCAATAATCGGTTTAAAAATAAATAGGGTAAATATTAGAGCCTACAATTTTAGGTCTAAGCTTCTAGGTACTTGTAATTTCATAATTTGACACTTTAAGCTAGAAAAAGCCTTAATTTACCTTAGCTTAATTAGGATTGAATAAAATTTTGTTTGATTACATTTTATTTTTAACTCTTAGGCATTGTTTACTTAATAAGGAATTAATAGTATATCTCCTGCAATCATGCTTCGGGGATGACTTTGGTAATTCTTGAAATAAGTCGACATCATTTTCAAAACCGCATCATGATTTTTAAAATTAAGGCAATGTCAGGTTATTAGGCTCAATAGTTGATCTCCCGCGTTTATGCTAGGGGCGAATGCTATCGGCCTTAATAAACGGATACCCTTTTCAACTTTTTGCATCCATAATGTTTTTTTAATTAAATAAAGATCGAACTCAAAATTTTCGATTTTAAATATAGGGTAATCAACTAGGTACCAATTTTTGGGCGCTTGTGGGGGTGCTAATCCTTCTCCATGCGTAACTGACTCCTAACCGATTTCTGGATTTTGAGAGACCCTAAAACTTGGTATTTTAATAAAAATAAAATGTTTTATTAAAATCAACTGGTTTTCATGGTGTCCCAATCGCACCTTAAAATGATCGGTGGCGACTCCTCACATTTCGAAACACTTTTCAAAGAGAAAACCCCTGAGTCGGTATCAATATTTCCCCACCTGGATGAAAATTGGTGTCGACACCTTTATATACCATTTGTAGGCCATTTTATGTGTTGGCATATCTTACATTAGTTTTATGGAGTTAAAAAACAAGATTATGGTAAATCTTGACTTTATGTGTTTTTAAGTTCTATAAGACTCCTTATGGCCTTAATAAACTCAAATAAGATGCTAATAACAATTGAGTACCTCTTTAGGACTCTTAGGGTGCTTAAAAGAGGTTTTAAAATGCCCAAGCAAGAATTTTCAAGTGCCAATATTGATACTGGAAGAATAGTATCGATATTGTTCTTAAGCAAGGAAAACATCCAAGGGTTTTGGGTAGCAGTATCAATACTTATGCATAGAGTATCGATACTCAGGGCTCAATTTCGATACCAGAAGGGGTTGTTTCGATACAATTTTTACATAGGACAATTTTAGTACCGATACTCATGGGATTATCGATACCAAGAGTTGAGTATCGATACTCCCTATAGGGGTATCAATACTACCCTTTCTTTCATAGTTGATTATAAGCCATCAGTATCGATACTCATGGGTCAGTATCGATACTGATGGGATCAATATCGATACCACTACCCTGTTTTAATCAAGAAATCACTGGAATATTAAGGTATTATCGGAGGACCCAAAACATCATTAAACTCTCCAATAAGACATCAATTGAGAACAATATTAAAAATGCGAAATTTCACTTAGAAACCATATATCTTAGGGAATCATAAGACTTGCCTTTTGTGATGTTCAGGAAATAAGATGAATACCCGAATCACTCTGGAACAGGGAAACGATTGTATGTTAAGTTTTAGCCAACTTTAAGATAATGCACTGGGCGCTTCTTCGCTAAGATGCCCTAAGGCTCGACGGAGCAAGTTAGTCGGGTGTGTAGTTCCTATGTAGAATTCCATATTCCACCCTTGGTAGGATAGAGGGGTGCGTGAGCTCCGAGATGTAGCCCCTCAGCCGCATCATGATGCCTACCTATGTATGTTTTAGTTTAGCATATGTTGACAATTATGTTATAAGCATGTGAAATAGAGGATACATATAGTATAGTTTGATTTTTAGTGTGCCACTGAGCTTGTGAATTCGGAATTTGTTTCCATGCATAGGTTAATGGGAGCAGCCATCGCCTAAACCACCTTACAGTTAGCTGCCAACTTTTGAGTACGTCTCAGACTTTTGTTAGTGGGCATATATTGTATATGGATTTTTGTATGTCGAGTCATAATAATATGTTGATTATTTTGTAAACTTACGTTCAAATAATTTTGGGGCTCCCGTATTTGTAAAACAAGTAATGTGTATATATTTTGTTGTATATTTCATTATATGGATATAAATGAATGGGTAAGTCATTTTAAAAGAAAAAATTTGGGTTAGCCTCTTCGGTGGTCCGTGTGACGTCATAGTCTGTCTATCTTCAGGTCGTATTCGATTAGGACGTTATAGGAGGAGTCTTCACAACTGATCAACAAAGCCTCTTAAAGTTCTTCGAAACCAAGGATGAAGATGTTCAAGTAATCTGTCTTGGATCAGCTCATAGACCGCTTTACCTTCACACTGTTACAAAAAAAGAATCATTCATCTGTACCATGATGCTAAAGACCACCGATATTTTGCTTGATACTGCCTTTCATTGCCAAGGTTGCTGGTCTTGTGCCATCATAACTCCCCAATGGGACAAAATTCTATTAGCACTTCAGTGAAAGGCGGCAATTGACTGAAAAATCAGATGTTTACTCATTTGGTGTAGTTCTTGAAACCTTACGTGCAAGGCTTGCCATTAGCCCACAACTGCCAAGAGAACAGATTAGCTTGGCTGAATGGGACTTGCAATGAAAGTGGAAGGGCTCGCTTGAAAAGATCGTTGATCCTCATATTGCGGATGCTACCAATGTTGAATCGTTTTGTGGAGGCTAGTTTTGAAAAGAGCTCGCCGAGTCGATCACCACACTCGTAAACCTTGCTTAGCCACCTCGGAGATGATCTTGCCAGTAGTAGCAGTCGTCGTCTTGATGATTCAATATTCAACACAATGAATATAGTTTGTTCTATTCAGCAGAGGAATTGTCAAGGTATTACTTGAGCAGAGCTAGATCATTTGCATGCACTGCAGAAGTTAGTTACATGGAGGGTCTCATGAACATTATGATGCTAAGAAAATATAAACTATTCAAAATTGGAAATGAAAGAGTTTGTACACCTATATGTCAAGAAGTACCCAATGGAAGTAACCGCACTTCACCATTTATAGTTATCAGATGTGTACTTTCAAGTGTTAAATTTCTCTAATGAAAATGGAGTGCTGAATATGATTTATATCTGCAGAATGCAAGAAAAGCAGATCTGATAATTTAAAATTTGTCGTGGTAAGAATTAAGATGTACCTTTCTTCTTCGACATGACTGGTACACTTTCCTGCCAGAAAAATTCGGCAATGCATTACATCCAATGATGTCAGCTGGAAATCTTCACAACCAGGATAAGTACTGCTTCATGCTATTTATCAAAGAAGAATCATATGAGAGCTTGAATTGAAAAACTATGGAAAGAGGTTAGATCATGATTTCAGAAACCTGGACACTTGAAAGGTTACAACCCCTGGATGAATGCAGATTGTTTCTACGGTTTTAAACCAACAAAAAAAAAAGGAATGGATATAACAATTCTTAACATAAAACCAAGCAAATTACTATCGTTTCGGTCCTAATGTAAAGATTTATTGCATCCAAATTTAGTCTAACCATACAAAATCAGGTGTAAAATTATGTCCACAATCAAGACGAAGTGAAATCTATCACAACCTTTTCCTCTTGGTGAGAGCTTCCATATCATCAGATATTATGAGTTCATCATCAACATCGAGCTTTTCAAGTTGATTGAGAATTCTATTTTCATCAGAATGGCATGAAAGATTTGGAATAGTGCTTTGGGAAACCTGAGACAGTTTTCTTTTCTTCCAAGTAACATTTCGGACGGCTTAGAAGTTTCTTGAATTCCAACATCCTTCTCATCCTCCAGAATCTCCTCTGTTGGCAACGCACTGGATGTACTTTCACCATTTCCAATAGGCTTATTACTGTCCTTATCAGCAGGAGCTTCAACCTATCCAGTGAGAAGCATTCCATCAGGTTCCTTCTCATCAAACTCCTCCCTGTGAGCATGAATGTTATTTTTTTTAAAATTGGTCCTCATATTTGAGGACAATTGTCTCCAACTCAGGAAAATAATTAATGCAAATAGACAATACAGGCATCATGTAAACAATAACAAGCCATTAATATTGCAATTAAAAAAAAATTAGGAAAATAAAAGAAAGTCTATCAAATTTGAGAACAGCATCCATCATAATTTAATAATGAGGTGTAGCCTAATCATATAGTTTGACCAGATTTTAATTTAGCTAAATAAATGTGTCTAATATTTTTCATGTTTTAGTATGACACAAATGCCAGGAGCAGAAGATGTAACAATTATGCACAAAATGAATACCAAAAAGGACACAGGAATAAATAATAAATTAATTTTATGAAACATGTCCAATATTCAACACATTTTGAAGAGCTTTCTACGAAAATAATAGAATAAAAGGTTGTCAATTTTTTGCATTACAGTAATCAACATAGAGACAAACCTATGATTAATGTTGATACAGCATTTGTACTCCTGTTGTAGATCCTCTACGGTAAGCACAGTCGCACTGATTACGGGAGAAGGCAGCTCAGATAAGGCCTGGTAAGAGAAAAATTCACAATTATCACATCATCTTATGTGCTAAACTGTAAAAGAATCAACTCTGTGCTAAACTGTAAAAGAATCAACTCCTGTGAGTTTCAGACTTGAACTAACGAATAATTACTGCAAAAAGGAAAACAAATTCATATTAGAGAATATTTTTGTTCAAAAGCAAAGAAAAGGAAAAGAATTTACTTTCTCAAGGTTTGCAGCATAAACAGCTACCATATCCTCTTCAAGATCTTCACCAACTTCATAAAGAATAGTTGCCCGCATAAGTAGTGGAAAATTCATGCCAAGTCTGGCTTTAACAATCTTTTCAACAACGTCCCTCAATTTAAAGCGATGAGTATTAACCTCAAGCGATAGTGGTGTTTGTATCAAGATATCAAATGTGAGCAGGTGTGAGTTGAGACGTTTAAAAATATACTCCAATAGGACATGCATTTTACATATACCTCTGAACAAACATAGCAAGACTTTTTAGGTTCATAGGGTTCTACCGGCATTAGAAGCAACTTTCTTGATGGATGTTCCAGACAATAGGTCATCCTGCATATGCATCCAACTCAGATTAGAACCACATAACAAAAAGAAATTTGCATTAGGAAGAATGGGAAGAGAACACTAATTCCTAGAAAACACAATTGACTGCCATAGATTAAATTAAACAAAAACAAACATAGAGGAAGCATGGGAAGAGAAATACAATTCCTAGCAATAACAATGACTGCTATGGATTACATCAAACTAAAATGAACGTAAAAAACTGTGCTCGATATTCGATACTTAAGATAAAAGTGAACTACAGAGTTTCTATATTTAAATATCTAAAATGCTTAAAAATGATGAATAAAGAAACTAAAATAAACCTGTAATTGTTGCTATCCCTTTTTAAAACTTTACTTGCTTCAATCACAATCAACCCCGCTATGATAGCATTTGTTGATGCCACAGCATGCACAATATTACCAGCAATTCTTTTAGCTTCAAAAAGACTATGTAAAGGAATCCCAAAATAAGAAGCCCTAATATAAGAAGCAGCAGTAACAAACACCACAGCCAACTGATAATCTTTATCAAAAGTCAGGTTTCCAATTTCCTATCACATGGTAAAATAAATCAGTATATATCTTGGTCAGAAGAAACGATCAATCAACTTTTTGAAAGTAGTAGATTAACACCGACCTTTCCTCTCTTCAAGAAAAATATCTCAAAGACTCATGAAAACTCTTGAATTTTCTGCAAGGCTCCATACAACCTGAGGATTCTTCAAGCCCAGAGATGACATGGAAGATACAGCATCAGTTGCACTAACTTTTTCACTGTTTCCATTCTGTTTAGTTATCTTCTTAGACAATACATCCTTACTATATATAGGCCTTGGTTTGGTACGGTTTTTCCAAGTTTCCTCATTCGACAGAGCCACTTCTATATTATGACCAAATACATGATCAAATATTCTCCTTCCATATTGTTCAATTTCTTCATCTATTCTGCACTCAAATACATCTTCAGAATGTTCTGACGAGTTTGAAACATCACTAGAGCTCACATTCAAATCATTTTCCTGACTCTTGTTCCCAAACAACTTTGCAATAAGCAGGTCCTTTGCCCACACAATACAATGAACAAACTACAATTCAAACAATATGATTAGGACTAGAGGAATAGATGTTCAAAAAGGACTAGATGTAATCATCATAATTGTAGTTGTAATACAGCAAATTTTGGCTAGTGACTAAAATATAAGTTTTGAAAGTTTGGTGGCTAAAGCATAAACTTTGAAAAGTTTAGGGACTAAAAATATAATTTTAAAAAGTTAAACATTTCAGCCCTTAAATAAACAGTTTGGTCTAAAACAAGAATTTTTGTGATAATCAGATTTTCGGTACGGGATTTGTGCTAGAAGCTATAAAACGTTAAAGTTCGGTGTAGAAATCGGAAAATCGAATCGAACCGAAATATTTTGAAAATTTGAAGGATGTTAGATAATGGTTGGAAATATTATTTCTATATTTTAGATCAGAGAAATTTAACTCATATTAGTGTAATTTTTCAGATTTTCCCAAATAGTGGAATTTTAGTGACTAAAATGCAATTTTCAAAAATTGCATGACTAAAATAAAAATTCAAAGCTAAGTTGATTGATCTTTGATTATGGAATATTTTAATGGAAGATAATGCCATGTCATTTGGTAATTATCAAGTTTCATTAATGGTAATTTTGGAATTTCTCATTAATTGAATTTCAATTATATTATGAATAAGCAATGTGTCAAAGATTATAATACAAGAATAATCAAGAAATTTAGCACATTTTCAGCCATCTCCAAGCTTGAGGCCGAAACCACCATTGCTTCAAGGTAAATATTTCATTTTTTATTTTAAGCTTGTATGAGTGATTTTTGGACTAAGTTATGAAATAGAGAGCCGATCTACATAAAATTCTCTATCATTTGGTATAAGAAATTCATGTAAAGCATGCTTGGATGGTGAAATAGAGAGTCGATCTACATCAAATTCTCTATCATTAGGTATAAGAAATTCATCTAAAGCATGCTTGGATGTTGAGATTTGGTGATTAGGGTTTATGAAGGGTTTATGGAATTTGAAGATTTAATGGAAGATTATTATATTTTTGATGTTGGAGATTAATTCTAAGGCTTGTATGATGATTCAAACTATGTGTAAAGTCTTTTCTTGAATTCGACCATTCTTAGGGTTTTAGGAGATTGATTGATTTTGATTCGATTTGATATTATGATGGATGGAATTGCATGAATTTGATAATAGGAGGTTGAATTAATGCTTGAAAATGAATGAAATCCTTGCCTTATTGCATTAATTAGGTTCAGCCATAAGGAAAATTTGGGGGAAATATTGAAAAGTTTTCTATGGTCTAGAATTGATATTAGAAGTATTCTATGTGACTTGGAGAACAATTTGGATCGATTTGGAGCCTTAAGGTAGTAAAAGGTCTTATTTGCAAGTTTTTAGAATTGTGAGACATTATTGATTAAATGTGAGAATTGGGATGTTCAATGTTAAATGTTAATATTTAAATGCTGGAATTTCAAGATAGGAAACTGGTTGGAACCAAATTATAAGTTTGGTAAATGTTAAGGGTAGAATTCAAAAAGTCTCAAAATTTAGGGACTTGTTTATGAGCTTGAAAACATGTTGGTATTATTTTGAACAAGAAATAGTACAATGCTGGAAAGTTTATTAGTATGTTGGTTTTTGAGTTTAAATAGTGAGTTGGGATCAAATTTCAAGTTTATTAAGATGGTTGGTTGAATTCGAAAAGTCTAAGAAAGTTTAGGACAAAATTGCAAGTTTTTAATGTTAAAGTATGGATTTGAGTATTTTATTAAGGTGCTAGAAATTTTAGTGATTAATGTGCAATGATCATAATGGTGAAGGATCATTATGAATTTAATGGAAAAGATAAGGTGAATTCCAGAAAGAATTCATAATTAGAGGCTTGATTGTGTAATTGGAAAAAGTTGAAGGGTTGATGACGGAAATAAATATTTATGGAATTTAATGAGTATTTTGATAAGTTTGAAATTTTAATGGGAAATATGATTTAGTTTTATATCGATTTTATTTCTTTCGAATTTTATATTTAAGCTTAAATTATGTTAGTTCGATGCTAACATATAATTTGAATATTTTATGTTATTATAAAACGTCGTCAGACCTCGATAAATCTAGTAATTCAAGTAATTCAAAAGAGAAGGAAAAAGTGCAAGATCGATAAAATTAGCGTAGAGAAAATTCGATAGTGTGACAAATGTTAGTGCATATTTAATTGTAATTATATTATCAAATGAAGATTGGCTTGTGATACATGCATCACAAGGCTCACATCAAAAGAAGAAGTAATAACTCTTCCAAATGATCCACTCGTCCAAGCTTTGAAAAAGATCATAACAGTAGCAGACTTGCGACAACTTTTTTGAATGGGATTTTGATCTTATTTGGTCAATATCTCTTCTGGAGATACAACCGTCTGTCTCTTATCTTTCCAACGGTTCTTGAATCGCATCAATCCGATATCGGAAACTCAAGATACGTTCAGTTTAGTGAAGACAACACCTGCAGAAATTCATATACGAGGTTAATACATGATTTTATAAATATTACGAATTTTCAATATTTATATTGATTATTTGTAATATAATTTTATATAGGATGATGCAATATCTTTTAGGATTAGATTTATTATTTTATTAGGAATTAAGGCTGAATTAAAATATTAATTTTAGTTATTATTATTTTATTAGGACTTGAGTCAATACATGTTTAGTTTGTTGTTATTTTATTCATTAGTTATTTAGGACCTTTTGAACTCAGCCCCTATATAAAGGATGCTTCATTCAACTTTGTAAATCAGATTTCTTTGATTAATAATACAACGAGAGTTTATTTTTGCAAGTGTTGATTGTCTTGTGCCTTCGAAGCTTCTTCTCCTGGAGTTCTTTCAAGTTCTTGTGAGGGAGATTAATCTTCACACTCCAATTTGCCTTTTCATCGTGACTAGGAGGGTTAATTAGAGTCATATTATTGTGTTTGCCTTTTCATTGCGACTAAGAGGGCTCGATAGGACATTATCCATCTATTTTCCACAAATTCATCATCACCTTTGTCATCCACCTTCACAAGGGAGATCTTTTGATTTCTTGATTATCATAAATTATTAAGTTCTTTATCTTTTGTTTATGTTGTTTTAATATTATTCTTTACCTTGTTTCCAGCACCTAAAAGAAACCCTAAAGAATCCTAGTTGTTGCCGCCACCTTCCCCTATTCATCCCCTTTGTTCTTCATCAAGTCTAGAGCTTTCTAGGTTTGATTATTCAACAAGAGCAACGTTCATTAACCCGCCACCGCTTCCCTATCAATTGGTATCAGATTTGGGTTGATTCTTGGAAAGAAGCAAGATCTTGCTTGTTCTTGTACACAAAACTGTCAAGGTACCCCAACGGAGCTAGTTCACAAAAGATTCATCGTTTCAGGTTCTTTTTATTTAATTTTAATTTAGATTCAAATCATTCTTGTTAGTTTGCTATTTTTAAAAAATAAAAAGAAAGAAAAAGGCCAAAAAATAATAATCAAAAAGCTAAAAAAAGTCATAAAAATTGTAAAATTGTAAAAGAAGGAATTTAGGGTTGATATTCTCCAGATCTCATATTCATTCTAAGATTAATCTCTGGTCCAAATTTCACCCGAGTTGAAGTTCATTAGAGCATTCAAATACATCATTCAAGTTTCATTGGCAGATTCAGTCTAGAATCTTGTCGAATTTCTTGAAAATTATACAAGAAGTATTTCGTGATGAAAATGTCCAGATTGCAACTTCATATATTCTATATCATTCACACAAAAAATAATAATTTTTGAAGATCAATAACACCTTCAAACAAAGAGATCACAAAAAATAAATTGTTTGAGGACTCACCGTTCAACAGATTCTATTGGATACTATTGAAGGTATTTGGTTCTGAAATTTTACAGTAGTTTCTTGACGCATCGAGAGACATTCAATAATTTTTCAAAATTTTTGGACACTGGTAACTTCCTCAAAAACGTTTCTCAAGTTGATCCAGCGTTTTCTAGGTTTTCTGGTTTGGTTCCTTTTTTCTTTGACTCTTCTTTAGGTTCTTTTGTTTTACCTTTTTATTGTTCTTTTGCATTATCTAACACATTATCTTCCTTGTGTTAGTAGGACTAAAGAGTTTGCATACGTCTTCCTTCTTTGCATTCTCGTTCTCTTGGAGTCTAACCTTTGTTTGGCCTCTTAGAGCTTTTAAGTTTTTCTTATCGCCTTTTCTAGTAATCAAACTCCGATACGAATTGTGGAAGACTACTTGGTAAAGTGCGTTTTAAAGAGTACAAGATCGGCTTACTTGCCACTCGTTGTGTTACTTTCTTGGAGTGACTTGTGATGTGTCTTGCTTTGTTGAATTTTCTTTCTTTTATTTTTTTATTTTACTTTAAAATTTTCTTTTGAGTGTTATGATTTCAGGATGGGCGACAATAACAACAAGACACTTACGGCTATCTTAGCCACACTTTCCCGACTCATGACTCAAGTTGAAAGATTTGATGAAACCGAAGAGAACGACAAGAACCACAATTAGATCTACCAAAGCATAATCCAATACCAAACAATGCTGAACTTTTGGTACCCAGGCGAGAACAACCACGTTTCCATGCACCCAAACTCTTTGCAAAACAAAAGTTCACAATCTCATCTTTCAAAGGAGACAACGATCTAGACAAGTACATCGATTGGGAAGGAAAATTTGATCTCATGTTCTCATACCATGATTGCCCCCAAGCTAAACAAGTTCCCCTCATCACCATGCAATTCGAAAGATATGCTCGAACTTGGTGGATGCAAACAAGGAAAAAGATCGAGAACTTCCAAATTCAAGCAATCACTTCTTGGACCAACCTCAAACAAACCATGAGGAAGCGATTTCTACTAACACATTATACGTGAGAAGTTAAACTACGATTACACCGACTTCGACAAGGTAGAAGTTCAGTTGAAGACTACTACAAGGAGATGCAATCCTTACTCAATAGGGATAACATAACCAAAAAAGAAGAGGTCACCGTGTCAAGATTCGTCGTCGGCTTAAACTCAAACATCATTGATCTTCTTGATCTCCATGGGTACGAAAACCTTGAAGATACACTAAAGAAAGCAATGACAATCGAAGCACAAATCCAAAGGAGATTTTGATTCAGAGAACATTACCAAGGTACTTCATCCTCTTACCAAGGTAATCCTTCAAATCCTTCCTCATCTTCTACTCCATCTTTTTTGAAAAAGCCAAGAGATGACAAACCTGACAAGGAGAAAGAACGACCAGCAAAGAATGACACACTTCCAGCCCCTAAAGTTCAAATGATAATTTGTGAGGAGGTAGGGAAAGCAAAAAAGAAAAAGCTGAGAAAGAGGCAAAAGCAAAAAGGTCACTAGCTACAAAAGTCAAAAGAATAATGACCCATGGGAGGTGAGTGAATCTAATTGTGAGAAGAAAAGAGTGACTCAAAATCTATGTGTGAACACAAAAGAATTGAGAGAACCTTCTTTACAAACAACCCTCTATCCTTGTTCACTTTAGGGAATCAATTGTTTTGATTTCTAACATTAACAAGGATTTGCCTAGTGTGTTTTCATCTTTGTTACAGGATTTTCGAGAAGTAATCTAATTCAAGGTTCAAGAAAGCCTTAGTCGTGATGCCATCTTAATGACGAAACAAGATTTAAGCAACTCCACATGCTTTATAGTTCGTGCACATGGAATCCATGTAAATGATGAGAAAGTAAAACCAAC